AAAAAAAAAAAAAGGTGTGCACAATCATTGCCTGGCATCTTTTCATTTTTTGAGTCAGGCTGGCTTCCAGTCAACTCTTAATCTTCATGCCTCAGCCTCTTACATACTGGGATTATAGACGATCTACACCAACATGACTAACTTTAAATTTTTTTTACCAATTTATTGTATTTGTTATTTGTGCATGTACATGCCACATATATGGAACATGTTATCTCTCTAGACCTCATGTTCTGATTTTCTTGAGATCAGATCTTTTGATATAGGTCAGGATGGCCTCAAGGTCATTCATGAACCTTCTTATTGCTGCCTCTGGATTGCCGAAATTATAGGTGTCAATGGCTGTTTGGACAGATTTATGAACATAGTATTAAAGCTGTTATTTTGGGGACTGGGGAGACATCTCAGTAAAGATCACTTGGTGATCTTGTAGAGGATCAGGTTTGGTTCCCAGCACTGCCACATGGTGGCTTAACCATTCCTAAGTCCAGTTCCAAAGAATCAGATGCTTTCTTCTGACTAGTGTGGGCACCAAGCACACAAGTGGTGCATAAACATACTAATGGAGGATGGCCTTCTGTATATGTGTTTCTTTTATTGGTTGATGAATAAAACACTGTTGGTCAATAAGGCAGGAAGATAGGCGGGACTAGGAGATGAAGAGAATTCTGGGAAATGTAAGCAGATGGAGTCACCATGAGGGACCAGGAAGATAGGATGCGCCAGGTGAACTCTGGTAAGATAAGGCCATGTAGAAATACTTAGATTAATAGAAATGGGTTAATAATTAAGACAGAGCTAGCCAATAAGAAGCCCTAGTCATCTGCCAACAGATTTATAATTAATATAAATCTTTGTGTGTTTATTTGGCGCCAAGTGGCTTAGGGAAACTCTGCGAAACACACATGCAGGCAAAGCAGTTATAGACATAAATAAATCTTTGTTTTTTTGGGGGGTTTTCAAGTTTGTTGTTTTTTGTTTTTTGAGACAGGGTTTCTCTGTGGATTTGGAGGTTGTCCTGGAACTTGCTCTGTAGACCAGAATGGCCTCAAACTCAGAAAGATCCACCTGCCTCTGCTTCCTGAGTGCTGGGATTAAAGGTGTGCACTACCACTGCCTGGCCATAAATAAATCTTTAAAAACTTCTCCTGCCTGTCTCCCAAGTGCTGAGATTAAAGGCATGTGCCACTATACCTGACCAACAATATATTTTAAAAGGGATGTTTCTATGAGAACAGAAAACTATGGTAAATCACATTACTGATGGGCAGGGTTCTCACAAGGAGGAATGAAAATGGTAAATAGGGATTACTATATGTCTTTACACATTTCCTGATTACTTCCTGTGCCATAACAAGTAAAACTAGGGCATAGAGATGGTTCAATGTTGAAGAATGCTTAGGAACTCAAACTGCATGAAGAATATTGTCTTCCACTCTTGAAATCCTGGGACAACTTTGATCATATTGCAGCTCCTTTAATTTTGTATTATAGAGTCTGGATATGTAGCCTGACTGGCCTAAAAATGCATTCATCATCCATTCTTTCTGTTTTAAAGGACAGTACTATGATTTGGGTATTCATTTTTCCAGCTTAGTTTTTGAGGAGGGGGTTCTGTTGACCAGGTAGTCTCAAACCAGTGGGTTTAAGTGATCCTCTGTCTCAGCCTCCCATGTGGCTGGAGTTACTCTTCCCCCTTAGCTATGATGGGGGGGGAGGGGGTTACTAACTTATCCACATTCCCTAGTGTTTATTAACCTACAACTCTGACCCCACAGTCAGGAAAAACTATGTAGAGAAACAAGAGAATCTATATCCAGATATGAATTGTATTTCAGTGCTTTTGAGGGTAGAAAAATAAACCACAAAGCATAACTTTAACAACACAGTGTTGCCATGTCTAGATTGTTATAACAGTTATCAGAAAAGGGAAAGTTTTAATAAGAAAGATGTTGAGGGGTGGGTGATACAGACCAGTAGTAGTACAGTGCTTGCCTAGCATGCACGAGCTCTAGGGAAATTTTTGTTTGTATTTTTTCGAAACAGGGTGTAACTGGAGTTTTCTTCCACTCTTGTTCTGCCGCCTATTTGTCCCCAAATAAACACACAAAGACTTATATTAATTATTAAACTGTTGGCCGATGGCTAGGGCTTCTTATTGGCTAAGTTTGTTTTTATTTTTAAACCATAACTAATAATCTATGTATTTCTACATTGCCTTATCTTACCAGAGAATGCCTGGCATGTCCTATCTTCCCAGTCTCTACATGTGTCTCTTTGTGGTCTCTCTCTCTTCCTACCTTTCCCAGAATTCTTCTTGTCTCCTAGTCCTACCTGTCTTCCTGCCTCTATTGGCCAAACAGTGTTTCATTCATCAACCAATTAAGAGAAACATATTCATACAGAAGAACATCCCCCATCAACAGGGTTTCTCTGTGTAGCCCTGGCTGTCCTGAACTCTTTCTATATACAGGCTAGCCTTGAACTCAGACATCCACCTGCCCAGCTCAGGAGCCTTAGGTTTAATTCCCACCAAGTCCAAAACTAACTAACCAATCAACAGAAGGAAAAGTGGTTACATACCTCAAGACCTAAGAGAGAATCTTGGAGACTTGGAACTGTGAGTAATAGTGATCCTTGTTTTCTTACATTATGGATGATGTAGTCCCAGGCACTAGAACACATTAAAAACTGATACAATGAAACAACAGTAAGATAATATTACATATTAATCAGAATAGAGACAGTTTTCTTGTTCAATGCCTCCTCTTTTTCTCTCATACTGGGGAGAGAAAGAGAGCCACAAGCATGGTAAGCAATCTACTCTGCCTCTAAGTTATAGCCCAACCAAGTTTGGTGCTAACACCTGGAATCTTAGCACCAAGGAAATGGAGTCATGAAGCTCCTTTTGAGCTGGAGGCCAGTCTGGAGTACATAGTGAGCTTCAGGGCACCGGCCTTAGCTACAGAATTAAAAACTATCTCAACAAAACAACAATGGAAAACACAACCCTGGATGTAGTCTTTAATATACAATCCAGCAACTGTACACTTTGCTATTTACACAAAGAAGTTGAAAACATTTATCTACAAAGAAAGATCTGTACATGAATATTTACTGTAGTTTTATTCATAGTTGCCCAAACTTGGAAGCAACCACAACATCCTTCAGGGGAATTGATAAACTGTGATATATTAAGACAACTACATATTGTTCAGCACTAAAAGGAAATGCATGCCCAAGTCATGAGGACACAGAGGAACCTCAAATGCCTACTGGTAGAGAAAGAACCTAACCTGTAAGGAATCTGGATTGCATGATTCTAATTATCTCGTGCTGGAAACGTAAAGCCATGGGTTGGTGAAAAGATCAGTGGCTGCCAAGGGTGAGGCTAGAGTACAGGACCAAGGGCTGAGCAGAGACCAAGAGATTTTTAGGACAGTGAAACTACTGTCTGTGCTTAAGGCTGAGCATGTGTCTTTAGACATCTGTACAGATACATGGGCTACACAACACTGAGGATGAATGCTACTGTGCACCGGGGACTCTGGTGACTATGGTGTACCCAAGTTCCATCATAAGAAGCACACTGTTCTGATGGGAAGAATGATAATGGCACAGACTCTGTAGGTGTGTGTGTGTGTGGGGGGGAGCATGCAGGAAATCTTTATCTTTCTTGCAGTTTTGCTGAGAACTCAAAACTTCACTAAGAAATGCAAAGCAGCTGTGAAGACCACAGAGAGTTCTTAGTATCTAGTAAACCCAGAAGCTTGTAAAGCATTTTTTTTTTTTTTTCCTGAATAAGGATGACAAAAGAAAATGCAGACGATATCTAGAAATCTAGATGGGCAAAATGTTTACCCACAGGAAACAAAACTACAGCGACACAGTAGAAATTGGCCAATTTTCCAGTTCCTGAGGGGTGTTGGCAAAGTTACAAGGTTAGAGTTCTGAGATTAACGAGATGGGGATGTGGGCTACTGGAAAGTTTCTGAGTAAGGAGAAATGAAGTTCAGAGTCGCACAAGTCAAGCAGGACCAGCATCAAACTTTGTAGTTTTTCTATGAGAATCAGTCCTTCAGATGGAAGCCAGGGCTGGGATTGCTAGGGGTGGAGGGAGATGAATAGTCCTGGGAAAACAAAGAGCACAGAAGCCAGGAATCAAAAATAAAATGTAGATGTGTGTGATGTGTACATTACATCCTTTAAAACTCACATCAAGAGTGAGACCAGACCTCATTTGGCTGTCTGGAGTATTTGGGGATAGAATTACAATATCACAAGGCACCTGTAAGGTTTGGTGGGACCAGTCAGTTCTAAAGGTTAACGAAATGGGACCTACTGATGCATTTCAGAGTGCAGTGTGTGTCTCACCAGTTCTGTTTAACTCTCAGGGTTGCTACGCACTGGACTCCTACACTATATACCATCTTGACAGTTTAACACACCAGTGGGGGGTGGGGGGAGCACCAATGAAGCAATGTAGGGGAACACAGTCCTTGCATGAGATGGGTAAGGTGGATGGGTAGTGTTATCGTTTGCACTTATTTTTGGTTGAGGCTATGGATAATAGGTTTCATAAATTTCAGAACTTATTAACAAGACAATACAATGTTCTTTTTTTCTGGATGGGTAAATATCAAATAGCAATATCCAATAATAAATGTTACTGTTTAGCTAGAGCTGTTTTTTTCCACTGGGATGTGGACATAAAATGATGTATTTTACAAGTTGATTTAACACAAGACTAGAACTATATTAGCATGATCTTTTTGTTTTTCTGAGACAGATCTCACAGAGATCAGGATGACATGAAACAGCTATTTAGCTGAATTCACTGCCACAGACTAATGCAGAATCTTTGTACAGCTTGGGTCAGAACCTTGACTAGGGGCAACGAGGGAATGAAAAAAGGAGACAGCCAGACACATGTACAGAAAAACTGGGGTGGAGTGGGCTGTGCTCTTGGATGGAGAAGTTGCATCACCTGGAAGCTCAGTGTGTTTATTATACACGGCTGAACAGGATATTGCATTCAGCTGAGCAAGAGTCAGGGCCCATGGTGTACAGCTGACAAGGAAGCAGGTTTGGGTAACTCACTAGGAGCACTCTGCAGGGGAGCACTCTGCAGGGCCTAAACATCCAGGGGGAGAAAGTTATGGTGGTCACTTTCTACACACTATCAACATCTGCACAGGGAATAGAGGAAGGCTTTGCAACGCACAAATAAATAAATACATGTAAACTTAAAAAAATTAAATACATTTTACAAAATCAGTTTTTTTTTAATTTTGTACATAATGAATGTTTCCTGATTTAAATAAGCTGATATCATGTATGAAACTGTCAAGGAATAAATAAAAACTATTTTAAAAAACAAGCTGAGTCTGTCGTTTTAAAGCTAGCATGAAAACATTTCTACCTTACTAGTATCTTCTCACACCTTGCTGGATGTATTTTAATAACAGGTCTCTTGCTTCAGTAAATAACATACCTTGCCTGTTGAGGCTCAGTAAGGAAATATTCGAAGACATTATTCATTACAATGACATCAGCACTTTGCAGAAGTGAACCTTGGGTACAGATGTCTGCATGAAGCACCTAAAGAAGAATGAGCTCATGTAAGAAATGAGGATACTATATCACGCAGCCACTTAAGAAGTGCCTACTGGCTTGGGATGCTGTGAAGACCACAGAGAGTTCTTAGTATCTAGTAAACCCAGAAGCTTGATTTGCTTTGCTGGGCAGTGGTGGAACACGCTTTCAGTCCCAGCACTTGGGACGCAGAGGCAGGTGGATTCCAGTGAGTTTGACTGAGGCCAGCCTGGTCTACCAATCGAGTTCCAGATAGCCAGGGCTCTTAACACAGAGAAACCCTGCCTTAAAATGAATGAATAAATGAATAAATAAATAAATATTTTCTTTGAATGGAATTATTTGTTTCATTATAATTGTGTTCCCTGAGTCATAATTATTTTCTTTTTAACTGAATTCAGAGATTTTTTTCCCCCACTATAATCACACCATTAGGTTTAAGAGCAAAAGGACCTGGGTGTAAATTATGGCTCTGCCCAGCTAGAGCTGCCAGGAAGGTACTTTTTCATAGTGGTTTTCAGTCCTTATTACATAATATAAAAATGTAAGGGTAGATATGAAAACAAAACCGTTATGGAGCTGGAATAATGACTCACTGGTTAAGAACAGTTACTGTTCTTGAAGAGAACCAGGATTTGGTTCCCAGCACTGACATGGTGGCTAACAGTTGTCTGTAACTCCATAGTTCCATTACCCACCAAGAAAAAAAAATAAGCAAAACAATTTATTTAAACACTATATAGGGCTGAAGAGTTGGTTCAGTGGTTAAGAGCACTTGTTGCTCTTCCAGAGGACCAAGGTTCGATTTTCAGCACCCACATGGCAGCTCATAGCCTTCTGTAACTCCTGTCTCGGAACCAATCTTCTGATCTCTGTGGTCACCACATATGGTGTACAGACATACATACAGTCAAAACACTCATACACAATAATACAATAATTACAATAAATACAATATAATAATATAATAAATAAATCTTTAAAAATTCTATATAACTCAAAAACTTAAACTATAATTATGGCTTTCCAACCACAGGCACGGTAACAAGAAGACACACTTATTTGCTCAGGAACAAAACAGATTTTACTTCAAAAGGAAGAGAGAAACCATTACCTTTGAGTTATTTTCAAATAAATACTCAAGACTTACAAATAGATGATATGCAAGGTGTTGTATGGTCTGGTTTTAAAAATATATTCTAAAGCTTTAATTCATTTGGCTTAGAACCTTTAAGCACAGCTTTGACACAGTCTTCAGTAAAAAAAGACAGCTGGGCCACAGAGACAGCTCAGAGGGTAAGGCTCTTGTCACAAACCACCCAGTTAATAATTTCCGACATTATAAACATGTAGTTTAGCTATGCAACAGACATGCAAACTCATCAGCTGATTTATCTTCATCCTCTTCTTATCCTTACTTCCTCCTTTTTCTTTCCCATCTATCTTTACTTTTTATTTCTTCTTCCTCTATTCTTGTACTGCACAGACTAAGGAAAGAGGACCCTGAAGGACCAATCAATCATGGCTGCCAACAGAAGTGTTCTCAGGGTGCCAGGAAAACGTTAAGGGATGCTTAGGGGCAGGCTCTGGACTGCTGGCTGCACAGAAGCCACAAAACAACGAAGCTCAACTCTACCAATATTGAGTGGGTACTTTTTTTTTTTTTTTTAAAGTTCTTTTTTATTTTTTATGTATACAACATTCTGCTTCCATGTATATCTGCACACCAGAAGAGGGCACCAGATCTCATTATGGATGGTTGTGAGCCACCATGTGGTTGCTGGGAATTGAACTCAGGACCTCTGGAAGAGCAGTTGGTGCTCTTAACCTCTGAGCCATCGCTCCAGCCCCCCGAGTGGATACTTCTTATATGTGAGATATTGTGAAGGGTGACAAACCAAGTTAAATGAGACATAGTACCTGTGCCCAAATATGGTATAATATAGTAATGTGATGAAAAAAAATCAACTGATGTAACTGCCCAATGCAGTCAAAGGAAAGAGAAATGATAGGAAAGAGTGAAAGTTTAGTGTGAGCCTGGAGGAAAGGGACAGGAGAATGCAAAACAGACCTTGCAGGTCAAGAGAGTAGATCAAACAAACACTCACATTTTTTTATCAACACTCTATTATAATGACAATATGGAGCTACTGTTTTTTTTTTTTTTTTTTTTTTTTTTAATAGAAAAAGGCTACAAACAAAGAAAGATGAGGGAAATAGGAATAGAAGCAGCAGACACAAAAATTTCAAAGTCTAGTTGGGTAGCGGTGGTGTACGCCTTTAATCCCAGCACCTGGAAGGCAGAGGCAGGTGGATCTCTTTGTGAGTTTAAGGCTAGCTTGGTCTACAGAGGAGTTCCAGGACAGTCAGGGCTGTTACAAAGAGAGACCCTGTCTAGAAAAACAAACAAAGACAAAACAATTTGAAGTTTAAGAAAAACAGGGGAGAAAGTTCTAAGGAATTTAGAGGAAACTGAGAAATTATTTCTGAACTAGAATAAAGAACCTAGATTTGACCTGATTTGTCACAGAATCTCCATAAGCCTACTGTAGTTGGCAGTGGCAGGTGAGGGAATAGAGAGAAACACTAAAAAGAAAAAGAACTGGTTCAAAGTTAGTTTAGGAAGCTACATGCTTTTCTCCTACAGTCTTATTCTCTGGGTAGGATTAAACAGGGCATGTGGACCAGGAAATAGCAGGCCTAGTTGACAGATGAGGAAATGACAGAAAACAAGGTAGCAAAGGTGAGATGAACACGGTTTACCAAGAACTGCCAGCTCTAAGCCCCCTTCCTCTCTGCTAAGTTCCCAGGGCTCTCCTGACCACTCAGCTGAGACACTGGAAGGTCTTCCCTAGGGAGTGAGCCCAGCCTGATGAAGACCTTAGACATTCCCCAACTACTTACCCATGGCCACACAGTGAAGAAGCCTCAGCTACGGTCTTCACTCAACGTGCTTAGAACTTCACCAGCCGTGTTTTCCTACTTTTTCTTTTTTTCAGATCAAACCCAAGCTCTGTGTGTACAAGGAAAAAAAAAAAAAAGCAAAAACAAAAGCACAGACGGGTTTCAACAGGTGGTATCAAAACAGTCATGAGCAGTGCAAGCCCTTTTACTTTCAGCTCAATGAAACACTCTGACAGCCAACCTCTGGAGAGTTAAAGCTCTGCTACCCAAACTCTGTCTGATATGGAGAAAGAAAAGGAAAATTCTCTAATAAAACAACAGGTCAACTCAATCAGTTTCTACACAACAGCAGCAGTGGGTTAGAATATAGAAGCAATTAGGTAAGACTCATAGAAGGTAACAGAAAACATACTGTAAAGGTACCTTTATTCTGTCACCGAACTGGTATTTTTTTATGACCATTTCCTGCAATTGGCAAAATTCTCCATTAAGCTCTACTCCATAGAGCTGCACTGCCGAGCTGTAAAGGTAACCCTAAAACAGGGAGACACAGCATGATGTAAACCAGTTAGCTTTTAAGTAGAGGTTTATATCCATTTGAATTAAAAAAATCAAACTGCTACAAAACTTCAACGTTCAGCACTTTGCTGACCAGGACCTTGACTGAAGTTTGTTACCTCCTATGCTACAGCTATATTTTTAGGCTGATTTCTATGCTTTCCTGATCAAGCTGGGCATTCAGCAAAATCAGAAATGATGAAGTGACCACATTCCAGCCTCTGTAATTTCTGGGGGCGTTACATCATGGCAGAGCAGGCAGGGAGTTAATCTGTAGGGAATACAGTGATGACCAACACCATTTCAAACTAGGGAAGGAAGGTAACTGACCAAGTCAGTTAACAAGGACACGAAAAATTGCTGGGGGCTGTGGTCTTTTTCTGTTTTAGAGTAACAAAACATAACATGGAAGGAAAAGTCAGCTAATTTGGCTAATGTTTTTAAGACAGTTTTCATGTAGCCCAGGCTGGCTCTGAACTTATAGCTTCTGATGCAAAGATTAGAGACATGTACCACTATGGCTGGCTCCTGATTGCCTATCAACACATGCGAAAACTAAGTTTGATTTTATAACACAGCAAAACAGCAATGTAATATTTCTTTCTTTCTATCTTTCTTTCTTACTACTACTTCTTTTTTTTTTTTTTGAGACAGGGTTTCTCTGTGTAGCCCTGGCTTTCCTGAAACTCTTTCTGTAGATTATCAGGTTGGCCTTGAACTCAGAGATCTGCCTGTCTCTGCCTCCCACCAGCTGAAGTGACATTTCAGAAACAAAAGCAATGTGTGCATTTTGGGTCACAGAAAATAGATATAACATATCCTTGGACATCACCCATTTAAAGATAGGGAACTAGATATTCAGAACCATTAAGTGACTTGCTATGGCCACACAAAGGTTTCTCAGGTCAAGGAAATTTGTTATTTTTATGAGTTTTTAATCAAAGTTCAGTATACTATTTTATTTTAATATAGCACAAAGAAAAAGAAGCCAGGTATGGAGACAAGCCTGCAATCATAGTACTTAGTGGGCTGAGCCAAGGGGATCAGGAATTCAGGGTTATCTTCATCTACATAGCAAGTTTGAGGCCAGCCTGGGCCCACATAAAAAGCACCCCCAGATCCCTACCCCAAAACAAAACAAAAAACAGATGCGATAGTGAGAGGAGGAGAGGAGGGGAGGGGCGGGGAGGGAAGGGAAGAGGAGAGGGTCAGTCACATGGTCCATTCTGTTTATATTTGTCATTTGTGTTGTGGAGACAAACCAGGAGAGGAAATTGGACAGCTGGTCTTTGAAATTCCAAACCCAATTATTACCATCGAGCAGAATTTAGGAGCCTGCCAAAGGATCCTATTTTGACCTTATCCTGTTACTTTATAATAAAGCCAAGCTGTCACCTTGGATGGTGGCAGGCAAAACTGTTGCTAGCAGAAGAAAGTATTTTCCACATGTTGCGTATGTCCACAAGCTGGACTTTACCGCATAAAGGACTGTGCCAAGTCTGGAGCCAATGTCAACCAAGACCTTTCCCGACAGATCGGGGAGTACATGCTGATAAATGAACTTCAACTCCTCGAGTGAGAAGGAATGAGAAATAAATCCTGGAAAAAGAAGAAAATGAGCATCAAGTTATAGTTTTGTTTTTGTTTGTTTTTTTGACCCAGGGTCTCACTGTGTTAACTCTGGCTGGCCTGGAACGCAGAGATCTGCCCACCTCTATCTCTGGAGTCCTGGGACTAAAGGCCTGCATCACTACGCCTGGCTAGCTCTGTCACTTCTATCTTCCTTGTCTAAGTTTCTGAGATAGTCTGACTCTGGCTTTCCTCTGACCTGCAGGACACTCAAAGATCACAACACCCTGACTTATAGAATTTAACTCTCAGGAAGGGGAGATATCATGGTCATTAAAACAAACAAAACAAAGCAAGCAAACAAAAGCCCCCACAAGATGGCAACTAAATGGAAGCAGTCTCCAGGGAGAGGATATAGGGTATACCTGTCTCAGAGTTACACAGCTCAGAGGTGGGAGGGGCTAGGCCACCCCAGTCCTCATCTCCCTTGGCTCTTCATCCTTACAGCCCCTCACCACCAGTGATTCTTCTGGGTAATCCCAAAGCTAGACAAACCCCTGTCTTCTGAGTACTTGTCAGAGTCACTCACGGTGACAGACATCTCAGATTCATTAGTTATCTGGGCAGCTCTGGGTGTCCAATCATTTATAACTGATTACGGGGAAGATATAGCCCTGTTTGTTTGTTAAACCTAGTTCTATAAATGTTTACAAATCAGCCGTTTGGCCTATGGTATTTCAGTTATTCACATATCAGTTTTTCCTCTAGCTCTCAGCCACGTCCTTTTCTATCCTGTGAATGTCATCTTTAGAGATGTGTCACTTGGTTAAAACAAAGCCCAAAATAACTTTTCTTGGGACCCTGTGTCTCTGTCTAACCCCACCCAGTAGTATTTTATCACTATAGGACTTGGTAAGCATGGAGACCATTTCAGATGCCCTGGAAGTTCACTTCTCACAGGAAGTGAGCCAGCATGTGGTCTGTGTATCAATCTGTAGAGTACGTGAAACATGAGGTAGGTCCTCTGTCTTTAGTCCTGTCTGTCAGGCTCTGGGCTGAATAGCTATCTCTGCTTAAACAGTTCCGGGTAGGACACTAAGTGAGCCAACCTCCACACTCTATGGCATTTTATCTACCCACCTACCTGCCCACGTGTCTCCCTGAGTGTAAGAGTGCATGAATGTGTGTGCCTCAGAGTGCATGTGCCACTCAGAGGACAACCTGAGGAGTTGGTTTTCTCCTCTACCATGCGGGCCCCAGTGACTGAACAAAGGTCATCAGGTTTGACAGCAAACACTTTTGTCCCATGAGCCATCTGGCTGGCCCTTAGAAAATATTTCTATGTGGTCCCCCTACCTTTAAATTTGGCTATGCAGGAGGTTAGCTTTTATTTTAAAAGATGTCCAATAGTCTGATTACACAATTTACACACTCAAGACCTGGGGGAAAAAAACCACAGACACACTGCAGCTTTGCAAACTTGAATGCCTACCCAAAGGTGCTGTTTGGTGTGAGCCACACGCAGTGCAGTAGTTTCTGCTCATTTTTCCCTCCTCACACAATGAATCAATAACGTCTTCATCATAAAGGAATGCATCAACGTGAACTGTGGGTTCTGGCTGCTGTCGTATCTGGAGAAGCACATCAAAGGAAAAGAAGTACAAAGGAACGTCTTTTCATTGCTAAATAAGGCAAACATCAGCGCTGCTCTGCTAAGTCCTGAGAACAAGGCACAGAAAGACAGAGCTGCTGGTTCAATTCTGCTGGTTTCAATTCTGAAACCCCCATTGTTTTTCTGAGACACCGGTAACTTTCTCTTTAGTCTGGAAGGACAAAGAACATGGCTGAAATCAAACTTTTGAATCTGACATGTCAATAATCATCAAAATACTTCGCAAGTCATCTTTGTTTAGAAAGCCAAGTTTTCAAATTGTTTAAAATATTAGTAAAACTTCAAGCTTATATATGTGGGCATGGCAGTTCCCATTTGTAATACCAGCACTTGTGAGACTGAGGCAGGAGTACACCGAGTTTGAGGTCAGCCTGGGCTATTTAGTAAATTCAAGGCCAGCCTGGATTACAGTCTGTATCAAAAACAAAATAGGCTAGGCATGGTGGTGAATGCCTTGAGCCCAGCACTTGGGAGGCAGAAGCAGAGGCAGGAGGATACCTGCATTAGTTTGAGAGCAGCCTGGTCTACACAGCAAGTTCTAGGCCAGTCAAGGCTATAGTGAAACTGCCTGAAACATAAATAGATAAATAAAAATGAAAAAACCATTATACACACACACACACACACACACACAGATAATACCCAAAATATATGATTATAGATATAGTAATATGTATTAAAAATATAAAAATGTAGCTGCAGCTCCCCTTACTCCCAGCAATCCGAGCCTTAGCCTCTTAAGTGCTTGAATTGCAAGCTTGTGCTATCATGTTCATCTCCTTTCAAAAACTTTCCCAGTATTTTTTAAAGGTTATTGATCAATTATTAATAAATGAATACCTTTTCCTTATTTAACATATTATATTATAACATGGTGTTGATAAGAACATTAATAGTACCTCAACTGCACTACAAATCCAGTACCAACAACACCCCAAACTGTATTCCAAAGTCTCATTTTAACACTACCTTCTACTTTGCTGTCCTGAGAGCCATATGAAGGACTGAGCACTTTCTTTCTAAGACCTGTTCAGTGTTCACAGTACCCATATACTATAGAAATGTTGAGCTGGGCATGGTGACACACCCATAACCCCAGTGCTTGGAGGCTGAGGCCAGCAGTACTACAGACCAAGACCTAAGCAATAAAACCCCATCAACTTACCAAATAATCAAATAAACCATACTCTCCAATGCTCTCCCCAATAAAACATAGGATTTAATTCTTCTGCTCGGGTGTTTATGGATGGAAAGGCCCAGATTGTTAGCACTTAATTTTTTTTTTTTTTAAATAGGCTGATAAATGGATTCTCCTAAAAAAATATTTGTTACGTAAAATTGTACCGGGGAATCCCAAATTTAAAGTCTCAAGAGAAAGGGGGATATGACTGAAACACTAAGTGAAAAATTGCTTAAAGCTGAATTTACAACTAACAAGACTACAAAATGTGGGGTTAGGGAAACCAGATTTCCTGAGTTGCACAAAGAGAAATGGACTTAGTTCAACATACTTACTTTTTGAAGGGCTAGCTGTTCCGAGCAAAGCACAGCCTCTTGGGGCAAACAGCTCCGAAGGTCATCGGCTATGTTTTTCAACATAATGTCATTATTATCTTGAGTGAATTCATCAAAATCCCCTGAAAAGGAGTAAAAATGAAAAAGTAGCTCCTACTCTTGCAGTCAGATCTAAACTAAATGATTACAGACTACATACTTTCCATCAGACAGTGTAAATTTATAAGAAGCCTTCTGAACACTGACATGACAGCACTAACCCAAGTTCCATCTAAAGTGGTAAATTTTTCAGGCTGTCAACATGGCTCAGTGGGTAAAGACAGTTCTTAAAAAAAGCCTGATGACCTCAGTTCCATCCCTGGGACCCACATAGTAGGAGGGAACCATGCCTATAAGCTGTCCTGTCTCTATACGTGTTACGGAGTGTGTGCACACAAATATAAAAAACAGTAAATTTTAAAATAAAATGAAGGGCTGGAGAGAAATGGCTCAGCAGTTCCAGAGGACCTGGGTTCAATTCCCAGCAACCCCTTCAAAAAAATTTTTTTTCTTTCTCCAAATTGCTCATCAAATAAAAGCAAAGAAATTCAAGAAAATATGTATGTAGTATTCATACTGCTTTCTTTTTTATTCACAAATAGTACTCCTTTAGTTTTCAGGGTGTTAAACTCTCTAAGCAACAAAATATTTTATCCTTGACCACACAAATCTTGAGAAATTTAGGAGGCATTGTTCAAGTATTACTCAAGGAGGAAAGAGCCTTAATCTGAATATCTTGACTCAAAAGAAAAAAAGATGTATTCAAGTCTTGAAAGTAATAGGGCTGCAGAGGCTGTGGCCCAGGTGGTGGAGTGTCTGTCTACTTGGTCAAGGCCCCAGTTTCCTTTCAGCAATGCATAAACCAGATTTGACAGCACATGCCTGTAACTCCAAGAGGCACGAAAATCATAGCTTGGCGTTATCACTGGCTACACAGTGAGTTTGAGGCTAGCCTGAGCTACATAAGACCTAGTGTCAAAAGTACCAAATAAACAAGAGTGATATTGGCACCAACTACATATTCTACTTTGAATCATGTTGCCTTAATGCACTATAGCAAAAGATGGAGAATTCACACACACACACACACACACACACACACACACACACACACACACACAGATAGATCTATCCTGAAGCCCAGGAAGACCTTGAACTCATAGCAATCCTCCTTCCAGCCTGTGTGTCTGGTGCCTAAGAAGTCAGAAGAGGGAATGAAATTCCCTGGAACTGGAGTTAGGTTGTGAGCAGACATGTGGGTGCTGGAAGGAAGGAGAAATGGTTCTAGAAACAAATCAAGGACATCTTGGAGGGAATGTCATTCATTTCTTTCATTTTTTCATCTTCCCAAAATTTTGGTTGTTTTTAAGATCATGATCTGTTTTTCCCCTTTGTGTGTGTATGTGTGTGCACATATATGTATGCACCCAGATGCCAATGCTGAGTGTCTTTCTCAATCACTATCTGAATTTTTGAGACAGGCTCTCTCACTGAATCTGGAGCTTGTCAATTCACCTAGACTAGCTGCTAGCAAGTCCCAGGGGTCCTCATCTCTCCACTCCCCAGTGGGGAGATTATAGGCACTTGCTGCCACACCTAGCTTTTTGGTGGATGCTGGGGGTCGAAACTCAGGCCCTCATGCTACCCACTGAACCATATTCCCAGTATTAACAAAACAAAACACTTTACCTACTGAGCCATTTCCCCATCTTCTTGTATAAACAATGAAATGTAATGCATAATAATACATAAACTGTATTATGTAGGAAGTAATGAGATGCTCTGAAGAATGTCTATATTACCCAATATTTAAATCAGGTCAGAAATATCTCCTATACATGTGACATTGCTTTATGGTGAACACTCAAAGTCCTCTATTCTAGCTTTTGAAAATGTATGTCATATTATCTGGAGCCATCTTATTGTGCAATAGTACACAATTATCTCCTTTCTTTGTGTTTTTTTTTAAGACAGGGTCTCATTTTGTAGTGCTGGTTGGCTTTGAACTCATAGAGATCCTCCTGCCTCTGCTTCCTGAGTGCTGGAATTAAAGGCATGCACTACCATTCCCAGTTTCCTTTATAAAATTTTTATCCAGTCAGTTTCTCACACTGTTCAGACTGAAGTTGGTCCGAAGGTTGTGGGTTATTGTTAAGTTGTTTAGCATTGTCCAGACTGGGCCTTGAACTCCTGATTCTCCTGCCCCAACCTTTCAAATGCCAGGCTTGTAGGTGTGTATCTCCACACCTGGTTTCCTTCTTTGAACAGTTTTTGAAAATACTTATTTTGTGTGTGCAGTGGTCAGAGGACAGTTTTCAGGAGTTGGTTCCTACCTGCACATACAAAATAAGTATTTCTTAGGAACAAATTCAGGTTGTCAGGCTCACCCTGAGCCAGCTGTCTGCTGGCTTCAAACACACTATGTAGACCAGGCTGACCTCAAACTCACAGACATCCATCTACCTTTGCCTCTTGAAGCTGGGATCAAATGTGTGAGCCTGCATTGCCTGGCTCTCTGCCTGAACAGGATACATTTTATTTGTTTATAATAACATACATTTCAGTCTGGTCATGGTGGTGCACGTCTTTAATCCCAGCACTGGGGAAGCAGAGACAAGTGGATCTCTGTGAGTTTGAGACCAGCCTGGTCTACAGAGCAAGTTCCAGGACAGCCTCCAAAGCTACAGAGAAACCCTGTCTCAAAAAAACCAACAAAAAAACCACACAACCCATTCATTTCATAAATTACTGCAAACAGTATAATGTTTCATAGCTTCAAGTCTTTTAAGCCTAACTGAATCTCAGCTGCTATAAAGCAGGCTGGTAGCATTACCTGAGCTTTGGTCACGTGTGGTAGAATATTATTAAGGTGACTTTTGTTTACACTGCATTTAACTCTGTGAAGATGTGTTACTGTGCCTGCCTAAAACACCTGGTGGTCCTAATAAAGAGTTGAATGACCAATAGTGAGGCAGGAGCAAGAATAGGTGGGGCTGGCAGACTGAGAGTATAAATAGAAGGAGAACTGAGAAAGAGGAGCAAGCAACAAGAGAACAAGGGGAGGAGGACGTCAGGGGCCATCCAGCCATGCAGCCACCCAGCCATCCACAGAGTAAGAAGGAAAATAAGATAATGCAGAAGTAAGAGAGATAAAAGCCCAGAGGAAAAAGGTAGATGGGTTAATTTAAGATAAGAAACGCCGGCTAGAAACAAGCCAAGCTAAGGACAGGCACTCATAACTAAGAATAAGCCTCTATGTGTGATTTATTTGGGAGCTGGGTGGTGGGCCCCTCAAAAAGGCCAAAGAGCCAAAAGAGCAAAGACAAACAACTACAGTCTTGTTCATAAGAAAGCTGTCCTTCCTTTCCACAGCACAGGAACATTCTTTCTTTGTATAACTTGAGAAGGCTGATTAACGCCAAAATAGATTATTTGGCTTTGAACTTATATGCAAAGGCCTTTCTTTTTCTTTCCTTGCATGTCTAGTTTAATATTATAAATTACTGATTTATGTAAGTTCCGGAAGAGACAGGTTATACCTTATAATGAAACAAGATATTATTAACACATACCTCACACTGTTTTAGGCAGAACTTTAAAGTATCTCAGAAGCTCTGGTCCTCCCTCAATACTAGCTTTTCCCACTGTATTCCTAAAATCTAATTACATTTTCGCAAGGTGTTAATTAATACCTAGAACCTACTTAGTTGCTCTCTACAGATAAAACAGTGTGAGAACTTGTATGGCTCAAATTTAATTCACTGACATCATTAATTCTTAAAGAAAACCAAAAATCTCATTATGTTACATGAAAACATTTTGAGGCCCAGTTTCTTTGGACTTAGTTACAATCATGTTAACAAAACAAAGACTTGCTATGAGTTTAGCTTCTAACCAAAAACTCTCAGGAAGCTCACTGTACCCTCTCAACACCTGGCAGACTACCAGGTACAGGCCTTTGGCTGGCTGGTACACAGCTGCTTCGGGCTGAGCACAGGCAAGAACAGATTTCTTTGTTGGTCTGAGTTAGAATCTGCCTCTCTGTAACTCTGAATTGTTTTTTTTTTTTTTCCGTCTTTCAGCTTGAATGGTATCATTACCTTTTTTTACTGGATGAGCACTCAAGGCATACTGGACCGTGTAAGTTTTCAGTCATTTATATCTAAGAACCCTATACAGGGTACAGATATTTTGCTTTAAAAAAAAAAGCAAAAAACAAACTCTGACTGCATTCAAAGGCAGAAGGGATTTCTTTAGTAACTGCAGACTTCTCTGTGCTGGTTCTACTTAGAGATCTTAAGTAGTTAAGCCAACCCTTTACTCATCTGGCTTTACCTCTGTTCTTTAGAACACTATCTCTAGAGACCCTGAGCAGAGACTGCCAAGTGGATCTTGGAGTTAAACTGCTTGAATCTGAATCCTGCGCCCACCAACTTATTATTTAGGTAGTTACTCAACTCTTTGAGCCTCAGGTGCCTTATCTATAAAGTAGACATCATCATCCCACATCAAAAGACTGTGATGTGTGTGTTAAATGAGAACATAAATTGCATGTTTAGAATATTGCCTTAGGGGGCTGGCAAGATGTCACAGTGGGTAAAGCTGCTTGCTAGCAAGCCCAATGACCTGAGTTTGATCCCCAGTTTGATTCCTACAAGCTGTACACAATAGGAACAAATGATTATTATAAATGTCTTAGAATTGTAATCAGTCATAGCCATCAACCAAGAAGATCATTTGCATTTGAGGATCAGTGACATTTATTAAATTCACGTTCCAAAATTATACTTTAAAAGCATTACCAGTGGATGGAAAGATGGCTCAGTGGTTAAGAGCATATATTGTTCTTGCATGGATCCAAGTTCAGTTCCCACACCTCTAGGCTCCAAGCCTTGAACTTCTACCAGGGCCCAAACTCAAATGCATGTAACACTCTCCTCCCACATATCTGAAAGTAATTTTAAAAATTACTAATTTCATGATCAAGGTGAAAACATTTATTCAATTATTAATTAAATCAAACATCTTTTAACCTGTATGACAGCTATTTCAGAAGGTGTAGTAACAGTCGTTTGGAAACTTTAACCTTTTGGAAAAAGATTAATGAAGTGTTAATTGGCTGCCTAAGGACAGTTAAGATTTTCTCAAATTATACAGAAGTAGACAGGAAGAGAGGGGGAAGGAATAGCTTTTCCACAGGGCGAGATAAATCCTTTAGAAGTTTCTGCTTACATTTAATTAAATATATGGGGAAGAAACATGGTCAAGGCTGACAGCCCAAGATTCAAACCCTACTTTGGGGGCTGCTAAGAGACAGTTGAGCAGGTAAAGGCACTAGCGTTGCAGGCCTGTCCAAGTGTGGTGGCAGGAGAGAACCGAGTCACCACAGCTGTGCCTTGATGGAGACATGCATGCTGGAGCACTAACGTGCACACATACGTTAATAGTAAGTATTTTAAAATACCGCTTTTCCTATGTAGTATGCAGTTCTACCTCTGTTTTCTTTTGAAGCTGATGTCCTTTGTCTCACTTTAAGTAACTCACAGAGACCTCCCAAGGCATACGTTAACGACTAAATAGTTCCTTAGTGTAACACACCCCACATGACTACTATAAGCCAGTTTCCTGCCTTAATCTCACTGTCATTCTCCTCCCCCACAATTTTTGTTTGATTTTCTATTCTTAATGTATCAAAATTTGTTCTAAACCTTTAAAGCCATTTATATCACCAGAGTCTAACCAACTTTTTTTTTTTTCAATGTAATCTTGAATTAGCAAATATTCACTTTATACTATTTCTGGGGTACAATGTATACTTCACAGAAGAATCAAATCAGTCCAGTTATCACATCTTTCCCCTCACATATTTATTTCTTGTTGGAGAGTACATTTAAAAATCTGCTTTCAATAATTCTGTAATAGCCAGGCGGTGGTGGCACTCGCCTTTAATCCCAGTACTCAGGAGGCAGAGGCAGGTGGATCTCTGAGTTCAAGGCCAGTCTGGTCTACAAATTGAGTTCTAGGCCAGCCAGGGTTATACAGAAAAACAAAACAAAACAAAAAACTTCTCTTCAAAAAGCTAAATAAATAAATAAATAGATAAATAAAATTCTGAAATAACAAATTGAGTTCTAGGCCAGCCAGGGTTATACAGAAAAACAAAACAAAACCAAAAACTTCTCTTCAAAAAGCTAAATAAATAAATGAATAGATAAATAAAATTCTGAAATAGATCTTGCATCTTGTGATCAACATCTCCCCGTTTTCAACTCCATTCCCTACACTACATGTAGTGACTTCTAGTCAACCCTACAGTTCTCCAAGTTTGGCAATTTCCTACTCTACATGTGAGTGCTAGCCTCAGAATGTGTTTGAACACCCAGTCTTAAGTTAGGAGTACTTTTCTGGGATGTTTCGGACTTTGTAAAGAAAGGGCCTAGCTGGCAGAGACATAAGACTCTAGGGGAGGGACTAGAGGGATGAAGGCCCTTGTTCAGCCCATGGTCTTGGCTTCCTGATTGGCTGTGGAGATATGAGTAACTACCTCCCACCACCTGTCTTTCTGTCTCTGGTAAGTTACCTCTTGTGAGGTTATTTGGTCCATAGAGACAATAAAAGTAACTAATAAAGTGAGATAATAATACAGTATTTGTCTTTGTGTGCCTGGCTTATTGCATATAACAACACCCTCTAGAGTTATCTAAGTTGTTGCAAGTAACAGAATTTTCTCCTTTTTAAAGGCTGAGGCTTAGTATAGTGTAAAACTGTGTACTTAATATGTGGGAGGCCCTAGGTTCAATGACATCACCGAAGCAAGCAGGCAGGCAGGCAAGCAAGCAAACTAGTAACAAAGCTTGAATAATATCCTATTGTGTATATATAATGTTAAAACTCCATCTATTGATGGGTACTTTGTTTCCATATTGTAGACACTGTGAACAATGCTGAATCATTTTCTATTCTCATTAGCCCCTAATATTTTTGCTCTAGATGTCTCAGTTGTTTCATGTGTTACCTGCTATGCACACTGATCCTTTCATGTATCAAGGAGGTGTGAGGTCAACTTTCATTTTCTATTCTCATTAGCCCCTAATATTTTTGCTCTAGATGTCTCAGTTGTTTCATGTGTTACCTGCTATGCACACTGATCCTTTCAACTCTATGACCTGTATCATCCCCCTTGCTCATCCCAATCTCTACCTTCAGTGAGTTACAATGTGAAAGGAAGTACTAGGTTATACAGTACTTATTGTGCAACCCTATCATTCAAATTAAAGAGATTTCTAGTAAAGGAAATTCACTTGCTAGGGTTACAAGTGCCCCACCACTGTCTGGCTTTTTATTTGACTTTTTACACTAATACAAGTATGGTTTATGATCTAACACAGCCAGGAGCAGTTGTCACACCTGTAATTCCAGTAGTTTGGAGGCGAAGGGAAGCAGAGATGGAACTCAGGTCCTCATGATGTACATCAAGGTCCTTGTGCTCACAAATAGCACTAGGGAAGCCAGGAACATTAAATGTACAAGGCTGACTTCTCAAGGGTGTGGTGGTTTGAATAGGAATGGCCCCCATAGACTCACATGTTCGAATACTTGGCCCATAAGGAGTGCACTATTAGGTGTGGCCATGTTGGAGGATGTATGGTTTTGGTGGAGGAAGTATGTCCTAGGGGATAGGCTTTGAGGTCGCAGAAGCTCCAAGTCTTTGGATCCAGATGTTGAACTCTCAGCTCCTTCTACAGCACCTTGTCAGATAGCACACAGCCATGCTCCCATCATAATGAACTAAACCTCTGAAACTGTAAGCCAGACCCAATTAAATGTTTTCCTTGCAAGTGTTTCCATGGTCATGGTGTCTCTTTACAGCAATAAAAACCTGATTTTCCTCTCAGAAGGCTGGGACTGGAGGTGGCTAATAGCCTAGGTCAGTAGTTCTCAGTCTGTGGGTCTTGGACTCTTTCACAGGGGTCACATATCCTACATATCAGATATTTACATTATGATTCATAACAGCAGCAAAATTACAGTTATGAAATAGCAATGAAATAGTATTAAGGCTGGGGATCATGACAACACCAGCAACTGTATTAAAGGGCTGCAGCATTAGGAGGTTGAGAGCCACTGCACTACGTGATCCTGGTGCTATCTGTAGGGCCAAGCGCCATCAAGCAGAACTAGATGACCTCTGTGCTATCTGTATGACCAACACTACACCAGATCTTCCCCTAGGCCCTTAAGATAACACATGTAGCCTATCTCTAAAACCCATCTTCGTGGAAGTGACATGTACTTTTAAGAAGAGTTTCCATGTAATTATGCCTCCTTGTGCACACAGGATTGTGTTACACCAAGAAACTCCCCCCCCAAATTGTACTATAGTTAAATATGCCTAAAACAAACTGCCCAGTGTCAGAATTCTAAAAGTTCGAAACAACATGGCTACTGAGTCATGTTGAACTGGATGCTGGATGTTCTTTTTTTTTTTTTTTGGTTTTTCGAGACAGGGTTTCTCTGTATAGCTTTGGAGCCTATCCTGGCACTAGCTCTGGAGACCAGGCTGGCCTCGAACTCACAGAGATCCTCCTACCTCTGCCTCCCGAGTGCCGGGATCAAAGGCGTGTGCCACCAACGCCTGTGGAACTGGATGTTCTTGCCTTACTCAGCTCATTACTCTGCTGGCTCTGGGGTTTGCAGACCCCTACACTTTATTAACTGAGCTAGGTATCACTCTAGCCCATGATACAGTTTTGGTTGTGAACCTGAACCTTTAACCAGTAAGCTATCTCTTCAGTTCCAATACTGCATTTTTGCAGTCAATAATTCTTTTGGAATAGATGACCAGATATCAAAGTGTGTAGAAAAAACTAGAAGGAAGTTGGTGTTGTTAGGCTAGGTGGTAGTGGCGCACGCCTTTAATCCCAGCACTTGGGAAGTAGAGGCAGGCAGATCTCTGTGAGTTTGAGGCCAGCCTGGTCTACATAGTGAGTTCCAGGACAGCCAGTGCTATAATATAGAGAAACCCTGTCTCGAAAAACCAAAAACCAAACAAACAACAGTAACGACTAGGTGATGGTGGGTGAAACAGGCAAATTAGGGCTTAATGAAGTGATAGAAGACAACATGCTTATAGTGAGACTGTGTCTCAAAAAAAAGCATTATTGTAAATTCCTATCTTCAAACACTTGATATCCATGGATCGGTATCTTTTGGTTTCCCATACTTTCCAAGATAAACTCGGTATCAGATGCCACAAGCCAACTTTAGGTTGGTGTCTCACTTAAAATGAACCTCTTAAAGTGTTTAACAATCATTACTTTAATACCTAAAGGCATTGATTGTCTCTATACTGAGAACCCTTTTACTAACAGGACAAGGTGGAAGATCTGAAATTGGAGGCTGTGGTTGAGGGCATAGCTCAGAAGGTAGACTGTTTGCTTAAGGAGCAGGAAAGCCTCGGTTTGACCCCCAGCACCAGCATAGGAGATGGATACAGGAGGACCAGAAGTTCTAAGTCACCGTCTGTTAAGTTTGAGGTCTACAGCCACTACTTGGGACCTTGCCTAAAAACTAAAAATACATTGAAGATAGCCATCAAATAACTATATTTCAAGTAATGGGTATGAATGAAAGTAATCTTGGGAATTAACGTCTTGCAGTATAGAAGTACAGCATAAGTTGGTACAGTTCTCAAAAAGGAGATAGCATATAAATAGCAGGCTTTACTTAGCTAGAAAAGAACAATTTTACCCAGTAACTAGATCTAATCAAATTCCTCGATTCTAACTTGTGACTTTTCACTTTTACTATTAACAGCTTAAGTTTCTTTTCCTCCCCATCCCCCCGACTGTTATTAAACGGTATATTTTACCATGTATAAAATAAACGTACTAGCTACATATGATCTTTCTCTTTTTTTACCTTGAGGATAGCTCTACAGCCTAAAACCTTTTTTTTTTTTTTTTAACTGCTATTCCAGGTAGAATCCGCTTGTGTGAGTTAACTAAAAAAAAAAAAAAAAAGGAAAGAAAAAGTTCTAGAAGCCTGTCTAAAGTCAGCACGGGAATCACAAACCTCCTAAACTTGGTTCTCAGGCATTCGATCCTAAAACGCACTGTGATGACCAGGTGTGAATTTGCGGCGGTCAAGAGTTTTGTCTAGTGACTGCCTAGTTAGTGCACAGCCCCGCCCTGTCCCGGTACCCAAAGTTCAAAGCCAACAGCAAACCCCCGGGGTGTAGCTGTGACAGCTTACGGGTAGTTCTCATCCAGTGGAGCAGTGCCGGGACATCTGCTGGAGCCGTAGCGCCGAGCAGCTGAAGCACCGCTCGCCGAGCCCTACCGAAGTCCATGGCGCAGCCTGCAAACGGGACAGGAACGGGTTCGCACTGAGCATGCGCAGCCAGACCCGCGCTCGCGGCGACCCCGCCCCCCGCGGAGCCATCATTCAAGAAGGCCTGCACGCTAAGCTCCGCCCCTCCGGGGAGATCCCGCCTCCCGCGGCTGCGGGAGCCCCGAGCCTCGCCCCCTCGCGGAGTCCTCTGGCACGCTGTCGCCTGGTCGCTTTTTCTCAAGGTGGCTCTTCGAGTCCTGACTTTCCCTCGAGATTGCACCCCGAGAGGGCCTGTTTTCGCCGCCGGCTTGCCGCCGCAGTGACGCGCAGGTAGAACGCTAAGGTCAAAGGTCAGCTCAAGCCAAGGAACACCCCTAGACCCTTAGCGGAGGCGAGTCGCCGAAACGCGCGGCTTCTGTGCCCCGGAAGCGGAAGTGTGTTTTCTTCTCGGAGGGCTGGACTACGCGAGTGATGACGTCTCCTCATTGGGCGGAAGGTTCGGTGGCAGTCGTCGGTGTTCCAGCTGGTGGGAGTTGGCTTCACGGTGCTGGGCGCTGGGCCCCTAGTTTATGTAGCTGGGAAGTTGGGCTGCGGGGTCGTCCCTGTCCTCCTGCTTCCGGTGTTCCTGGGTTTCCTTCTGCGGCGCGGGGCCTCGCCACGGACTCGCCGGCCCTGTGGGGCCGCGGCTTGAGTGGTGCCTTCTGCGGTGAGTGTGGGGCTTTTCCTCGCTCTGCGCTACTGGAAGGTAGCCGGGGGGCAGCCGGACCCCCAGTTTGTGCGAGACGCTTCTGCGGGAGTCTTCCTTCGTCACCACAGGCTGAGATCACCCAGGCGGAGGTGCCCCGACGCTTTTATCTCTTGTCCTCCCCCATCGCAAGTTTTACTAAAGGATCCAGCACTGTTGCCCTTTTAATTCGTCTTCAGATTTGCCCGAGCCAAATAAGATACAAGCATCTGTAGTCTTGATGGCTTTCCTGAACGAGTTTAGAGAGAGGCTTCTTGCCCAAAGCCTTCTAATGTGTACCAGATTTTATTTTCCTGCCTTTTAGTGCTTAACATATTGTTCTTTCTGCTCTTGGCTAAATGAATAAGATGGGTTCAGTGACAGTGATAAGATATACTGACGACTTTGTTTATTATTTTTTTTAATCAGTGGATGCTATTGACAGTGCATTTTCTTTGGAAACTTCGTTATGTCACTTTCTCTTTTCTTTTTGGCTTACAAGACAGGGTTTCTCTGTGTAACACTCCTGGCTGTTCTGGAACTCGCTTTGTAGACCAGGCTTGCCTCGAACTCGCAGAGATCCGTCTGTCTCTACCCTGTCTCAAAGAGCTGGGATTAAAGGCCACCGCACCTGCCACTTACCTTATACAGCTTATATCAGTGTTCTAGTCGCCACTCTTCACTTAGTTGTTAGGCATTTAAGCAAAATGTTTACAGGGCTTGCTTGTTTCTTTTAAACTTTTGTAAGGATAAAGTAATGAAGGACACATGCCCAAACATGGAGATGCTAACAGTACAAAGTAGGGAAAAGTCCATAAGTATATATTATCGCCTGACGAATAATGAGAAACTGTAGGCATAATGTGGTATGGGGTAACATAGATGAAAGTTAATGTGCCCCTTAAGGGATTTGTCGGAACTATTTGCTGTTGAAATCTAGCATCAGTTCCTAACAGGCTTATGAGGATGGAAGAGGGTTAGGTAAGACATTTAGTACAGTACCTATGACATAGCAGTAGTGGTGCAAAAGAGGAGGGAGACATTCCCCTTAAACATGCTTACCTCAATTTTTTTGATACGACTAATTAGTTTTTTTTCTGGTTTAATAACGAATACTATACAAGGAGTTCTGTGACTTTCTGTGCCTGCCACTGGAATGGTAGCTTTTCTTCCTTTTAAAGGTAGACACTTTTTTTCTTTTCTTTTTTTTTTTTTTTTTTTTTTTTTTTTTTTTTTTTTTTTGGTCAGGGTGCTTTTGGAAGATCAGTAAAAACTAGTCTCTTGGAATACTTTTAGACTTAGTTGATTCGCTGTTGCTGTTGGCCCTTATTGCTAGACCTCATCATCTTCCATAGATTCCCCTCGAGTGTTCTCACCCTCATGTATTGCTTCCATGCATCATTCCCATATGCCAACCATTTCCGTGCATTTTTTTTTGTCTAGCCTACGTTTTGAGAGTTCTGCATTTCTGCAGACTCAATAGGTCAAAGCAAATGCACTACTTCCATCTCCCATTTTCTGCCAGGTTATGTGGTGTATATGTTAAGACATGTAGAAGCAATGTGTTTTTGAGTTTTGATCCTTATTTGTTGAGTGTGTTTTGTGTATGTTTTATTTTAAAAAAAGGCTAAGCCACATGTGCCTAGCTTCTTTGTAAGCTAGGTTGTGAAATTACTTGAGCACAGGAATTGGAAGTGAGCCTGGGCATTATCAATACCCCATTCCTAAAATACACAACAAAGCAGTGTAATAAAAGGAACACTTATCTAGATATTCTACTTAAGTTGTAGACCATTATGATGAGTAACTAAGACTCTTGAATTTTTTTCTGTATTGATTTTTCTAACTTTCAGATCATCTTCCCTTTTGCTTTCCATTCATTGGTTAATGACATCATTAGCTACCTGGCTATTCAAACTGGAAACAGTGGAATAACTTTTGCCTTGTTCCTCTTCTTTTTACCATTTGGCCATTCAGCCCTGTAGCCCCTGTCTTGTATATTTTTTTGTAGTTGTTCAGGATCACTTTTCTAAACTTATGGACTATGGCTAGTATTTGTAGACATCTGACTCTTGGGTTTTTCCTTCATTTGATGCATTTGCCATTGTTTCTAAAGATGTTTGTATTCTGTATTTACAGGTATATATGTGTGTACATGTAGCTTTTGTTTTCCTTTTTAGAACAGGATCTTATGTTGCCTTATCTGACCTTGAAGCCATGGCCTCAAGTGATCCTCTGCCTCAGCCTCCAAGTAAAACATACCTGTAATGGTCCTAAGACATTTTAAAACTTGAGACAATCTGGGTTGTTGTGGTATACACTTTTAATCCCAGCACTTAAAAGGCAGGTGGATTTCTGAGTTCAAGGCCAACCTGGTCTACAGAGTGAGTTCCAGGACAGCCAGGGCTACACAGTGAAACCCTGTCTTGAAAAAAAAAAGCAAACAAACAAAACAACCAACCAAACAGTTGAGGACAGTTTTCATTCCTGTGTCTGATTTGAGGGATGCTGCTGAGTGCAGTGATTGCAAGACCTGTCTGCACATCAGGGTCTATGATGGCTTGTTTTGCTTTTCTAATAAGTTAAGATAAGACTGCCTTTCTAAAGCATTTTATTCTTTCTCCCCCTTGTTATTGCCACTGGGGAGTCTGGGGATTTAATTTTGAGCTGATGGGAACTGTATAAATGTAACTAATGTAACATTGCTTGAGCCTGTGTTTTCCTCCCCCCTTTTCCAATTTTCCTTCAATGCTCTTTTCTGTTTCAAAAGCAACAACCGTTTTCAAGGATTTTTTTTTTTTTTTTGCATTTTTGTAAAGATTCTTTTTTGACTGACTGATTTGAAAGCAAAAAAGAATCTTTTTTTTTTTTTTTTTTTTTTTTTTGTTTTGAGAGAGGGTTCTGTATTGTTTTGGAGGCTATCCTTGCTGTGTAGAACAGGCTGGCTTGAACTCACAGAGATCTGCCTGCCTCTGCCTCTTGAGAGCTAAAGGCATGGGCCACTAATGCCCAGCTGCCAAAGAATATCTCTTTTTTTTTTTTTTTGATTTTATTTATTATGTTTACAGTCTTCTGCCTGTATGTCAGCAGAGGGCACCAGATCTCACTCAAGGTGGCTGTGAGCCACCATGTGGTTGCTGGGAATTGAACTCGGGACCTCTGGAAGCACAGTCAGTGGTCTTAACCGCTGAGCCATCTCTCCAGCCCGCTAAAGAGTATCTTAAGAAAGGATTCTTGTAGGCTTTTCTTTTCTTTTCCTTCCTTTCTATTTCTATTTCTATTTCTTTTCCTTTTTTTTTTTTTTTCTTCACCAGTTCTTAAAATGTAGCCCTAGCTGGCCTATAA